TCGCCAGTCTTTTGTTAGCAGCTGATAACCACATGCCCCACCCAGGGACTCTGAATAACTTGTCAATAACACAAAAAAGAAACAAACCCCACCTGGGCTGTTTGACGCCACACTCTGCTCCTAACCTGCTCACCAATTTTCTTGATTATTACTAGATAAAATTCTGATAATGTAACTAATCAAATAGAAAGTTTTCAATCTCTTTAGGTACTATGGCAAGGAGGTATTCCCAAAATCTCTGAATAAAAGGGTTTTTTGACTTTACTCAGTGTGTAAATGCCTGAGACAGAATGAATGGAATGGGTTAAGAAAATGGCATGTTTTAGCTCCGACTCCATTCTTTTCTCTTTCTTTTTTTTTCTTTTTTTCCTGAGAGCAGTTTGAACTCCCTGGCACTTTCCCATGCGGGTAAATCAGGTTCTTAATATAATATTAACATAAACACTGCTGTGTATATTTTCTGACTTTGCTTTAGACTAAATAAAGCCTATATGAATAGAAACAGATTATGAGAGATTTGACTAAACAAGCAGTGTCGACTCTGAAGAACTAGGTAGACTTTTAAAACATGATTAGTATCATCTACCTGACATTTATTATTTCCAGTTTACAGCTTATAAACATGTATGATGCTTTCAGACATAGATGTGTATTGCTGTTGAATTGAGAAGAAATTAGTAAAAATCATTAAAACTTAAAAGGTAAACTATTTTCTCCCTCAAAGAGTAAGAGAGTGGGCCTGTCAGCTTTGAGTCCCTTTAAATTTATACAATGCATGGGCCCTCAGCATGGGCAGAGGTAAACAGAGAGAGCTGTAATACAGCTTTTTGCAGTTTGGAGTGAGAAAGTTTAGGGAAGTGGATTCCCTCCTGAGGTGTGTGTGGGTGCGTGGTTTAGGAACTTCATTGGAACAATATTGGGACTTAGGAAACACCCTTTCTCCCTCCCTTCTGGTTTGGGGTAGATTAGGAGCCTGAGGCAGCTTTTGTTGTTGTGCGTTGCTGAGTTGGCTCAGACTCATGGTGACTCCATGTACAACAGAACAAAACACTGCCTGTCCTGCTCTTCAGGATCACTGGTATGCTCAAGTCCATTGTTGTGGCCACTGTGTATTCTGAGAGCCTTCCAACCTAGGGGACTGATCTTCTAGCACTATATCAAGCAATATTCTGTTGTGATCCATAAGTTTTCATTGGCTAAGTTACACCTCAACATAAAGAAAACAAAAATCCTCACAACTGGGTCACTAAGCTACATCATGATAAATACAGAAAACACTGAAGTTGTCAAGAATTTCATTTTACTTGGATTCACAATCAACGACCGTGGAAGCAGCAGTCAAGAAATCAAACAACATATTTCATTGGGCAAATCTGCAGCAAAAGACATCTTTAAACTGTTGAAAAGCAAAGATGTCACCTTGAGGACTAAGGTGAGCCTAACCCAAGCCATGGTATTTTTAATCGCCTCATAGGCATGTGAAATCTAGACAATGAATAAGGAAGCCTGAAGAAGAACTGATGCCTTTGAATTATGGTGTTGGCAAAGAGTATTGAATATACTATGGACTGC